CAGCTTGAGATTACATACGCATCAATTGTCTAATATGAATGTGTAGTCGATAAACAATAACAAAAACACTTTGCTTCACACAAAACTTAAAAAAGGTAGCTATCACGTTAAAGACTACTTGATCAAAGTTCGACCTAAAAAAAGCTGGCATCGCACTTGGTGTCTATGGGTGGCATTAATTCCTTTGGAGTTACAGTTGTCTATAATTAGCGCCAGTCGCTTACGATTAGGTTACACGTACTCTCGTTTGCCGACTTATCCCAAAAAAGTGGCATATTATATCATTACCCTTCTTTTTACTTTTTACGACCTAATGAAACTGCATCGTCTATCTCAAATACTGCTACGGCATATATAAAATATTAACATGATTAAAAATATTCAAAACACTGCAATCAATGCGACAAAAAGGAAATAGAATACTCAATATTTCATTGAAGTTATTCCCAATAACAAAGCTAGACAAAAATAGTTCCTTTTGAAAGGGATTGCTGCAATAAATTGTCGCTTTGTTTAAAGGATTCACCCCATATCGGTGTTCTTACTTGACATAAGTGTCACGTTTCTGTCCCCCACCCTTTAATCATGGGGTTTCCTTTGATTTAATATACCACTAAAGGACTGTAATTTAGTTACTCACATAGTGTCATTTATAGCAGACAGTTTATAATAAAAGGAAATATAAAACGGTCGTATTCTCGTGACAAGTTAATCGTTTTGGGGTGTGATAAGGAGTTGGATTATAGTCTTTGTTTGATTGGGCGCTGTGCCAATATTGAACGGAGAGTCAAAGGAATTGTTGTTTTGTTAATCGACATCTGTGATAGCAGTTGTCAGAAGCAGTATTCTAGAGATAAGTGATACAAAAATTGAGATAAAAAATTAAAGTAGTTTTCGAAATGTAATTTTAAAATTATACATGGATAATGAATTTTATTAAAAATGACGACTTACTCATGTGAATTAAGTATCTGTGATGGGCTTACTCAGTCACAGTCGGCTGCGCGACGTTGCGGCCACGATCACGCTGTTCACGAATAAGAGACCTACATATATTGTGATTTGAATCTAGGAGTCATAAGTTTCAATAAATTTTGTGTGTATCAAAATAGTACCTTATATCCTAAAGATCAAAACCGCATACAATTACAAAGTAAATTATATTTAAATCCAACCTCTATTGAAAAATAGCACCATAATGTTATATACAAATATTCAAGGATAAAAAAAAACACTTAAAAAGCACCACCCTTGAGGAAAACACGTGTCGTTATCATAAAAAATGTATGCAAAACATAAATACACCCTGTACCTTTTTTATTTTCATGCGTGGAAGTGCAGACAAGTGAATGAAACAACACTCCATTTGCTGTCTCGCAATTTCAAGGACCCTTCCAGTTTCCACGATCCATTAGACATTACCCCAATTTGTAAAGACTTTCATCCCTCTTCACCTTTAGAAAAAGATGGAAATATATTTATTATTTTGTCGAGGTCAAGGATTTGAGATTACGCCGCGACTTTTTGTAGACATCGTAATGAATGAGACGTGAAAGCCTTACCTGAAAAATGAATAGACCTCCTTTTATTATATAAGTTTTCTTTCGTTAACGTAGGTATTACAGCTTTTTTGCGTTGTAATTATAAAAAAAATCATTAATTTAATTCGCGACACTTACGAAGTATTATTGGATTTTTTTTGCGAAGTATTTTATTAATATTTTTAGTTTATATACTTACTATACGAGTACATTATTATGTATGTTGACGGATGTAAGCTTTCTACTATAACTATAATCTTTACTAGTCAAAATTAGAAGGAACAACTGCAGCACCTAGTCTAGACAAAGATAGTGAAAACTTAATAAGTAGTATGTTTATATGGGTAATAACTTAAACATGTTTGATGTGTTACGGAAGCTTGCTTGTAACGTTATGTATTCATTATTATTTGTAAGAATGTTTGAAACGTCTTTATCATCTAATCATTTTAAATGTTTTAGATATCCAGAAACCTGGAGTGGTCAGTTTCCACCCAAACTAACGCATGTTTTCCTAGTTTGTAATCCTGACTTGCACCTAAATATCAACACCTAAGCTTTGTTAAATATTTTACTTTTGTATTAATACATAGATATAAGTAAAAATAAATAAATAAATGTTTTACGATCAAAAAATATTTACTATTACCTAAATTACGAATGTTTTCTCCAAAAATACGAATAGACGGTTAAAACAGGGACGTTCATAGAAATGTTTAGCAAAGTTTGTAAACATTTTAAGAAACACTTCAAACTTAAATTGGCATTTGACGACAATTTGGAAGTCGGACAATTCGTTATAAAATTCTGTAAGGGTTTGATATGGACATAGTGACATCCATTTCAGCATCAAACGTACTAATCTTGATATTACTTATGTTATTTAACAATTAGTTTGTATGTGTACAAATCTAGGATTTTGTCAGGTATCGCGGGTGTGTTTAAAATCACATTATATCTGTCTTAACACCTTAATGTTTTTTTTATTTCTCTCAGATGAGCTCTTAGGCAGCAGTTTTCTTTAATAAGCAGGTTCATAGGTAATGCAACCCCATGCATGTACCACGGCTCTGGCTTGGAGCAGGAGAAGGAACGAGGTGGTTTTTAGTCAGAAAGAGTGACACGGAGGCCCAATCCTTCCCCTCCCCCAATCCCTCCTCAATCCCTGATCCCTAAAAGGTCGGTAACGCACTCATAACTCCTCCGTTGCGGGTGTCCATGGACGGCGCTGATTGCTTACCATCAGGTAATCCGTCTGCTCGTTTGCCGACCTATCACATAAACATAAAACAAAAACAAGAGTGACACTACCTTTCGCTCCACCCAGGGCAAAATAAGTCATTAAATGACGCCTTAAAAAAGAAGTTAAGTTTTAGTATTGTCGCAGACGATAGTTTAAACTACAACACTTCACAACAAAATAAATTAAATTATCACTCAAGAGAAAAGAAATAAATTCACACGTTTTTACGCCTTCCTAACGTTTATGAAAAACTAAAATAAATAAGAAAATACGTAATACGCTGAGCGTTTTACATATAAGGAAGATTTACAAGGAGGTCCCCCTTCGTTACCCAACTGTCAGGCTCCCTGATGCTGATCTCATGATTGCGTCCGTGTGACATGGGATAGTGGGGCAAATGGAGGAAATAATAACCAGCCCAAGAAAATACGGGGTAATTTGAACATGGGAAATAAATAATGTTATTTTATTTTTCTGTGCAGGTTTTGGTGTGGCGAGAAAGAATTATGCTTTTATTTACGCGTTTTTGTAACAATGTGTACACACTTGTATCAGCACCTTCACCTTCGAAATACTATCATGTATCAGACTCACACGCAGTCGATTTTTATTATTAGTAAAATAGTAGTTTACTTTTAGGAAAAATTGGTATATACAGTGACTTTGTTGGAGGTCACGTTTTCCTTTCTGTCTGTTCAACCAAACAAACTTTTCCAGAGTAACGATATTATATACAAAATACTTTAGCCATAGCCGCAATTTTGTCACATTTCTCATTTTTCCCTTTTCATATTTTGGCTAAAACATAACAAAGAAATAAAAAAGCATCATCAAGTTTATTCCCTAGCGAAGTGAGTAGAGATTGAGCGTCGGTCGCCATGATGAATGATAGGTACTTGAAAACCGCCATTCCCAACCTAAGGTCTGTTTTATTTATAAGCAGATTTTTTGTTTCCATGTTTTTGGGACTACGACGGTATGTTAAAACGTTTCGTAACCATGAAGTGTTTGTTGTTCTAATGGGTACTCTAATGGTTTGATCAACAGATGGCGTTAATCTAGCAAGAGGTTCACTTGTCCAATCACTTTGTCAAAAAAAAAATAACTTCCAAGGATGTGAAAAAAAAAACACAAAAAAGTTACTAAGCAGATTTTTGTGTTTTTTTTTCTATATACGTGCTGGCGCATGGAGCATCGATTACACCTGCACAGGTTATATACATTAATGATATTTCAAATGGTTTTACAGCGAAACCATTGAGAACTATATATTTTCATTTCAGTCCGATGAGGAACTAAAAATAGAAAGCGCCACGAATATTTTTACGTAGCTTTACATGGAGTCGGGTAAAAAAATACGTTGACTCGAACAAAACTTTATAGTGTATTGCGTAGTAGCGCTATCGAATATACGTCCAATATTCCAGATAGAGAGAGGTCTATCTCGGCAGAATATTTCAAAACAAGATAAATTAACCTAACATACAGAATAGTATTTCGACCAATTTCGCATTTTTCCTTTGTTTATCCAATCTTATTCAGCTAAAAACAGGTATTACAACATCCGGTGAACCATGAACTCGGATAGGATCTAAATAATAAATCATGTGTAAAAAATATGCTACGCAAGCTTCATTTTTAGTTCCCCTAACATAAATAATTCTACCTCATTCCCCTATCCCAGTAACCTTCGGAACCTTCCTTACGAAGTTCACATTTACGATATGAAAAGGCAGATTATCGCGGCGTAGTTTAGAAAATGATACAAACAAACAAAAGGAGAGAAAATATTGAGCGAGATTTCCTCGGGGAATTGAAGTCGCCTCCACTAAAATTGGATGGTAAACTGAAGACACAATGACTTTTATTCTTTTTACCTGTTCCTCTAGGGAACGCGCCAACGAAGCTGCCACTATAAAAATGTTTGATGGCCCATCCATCAACCAGTAATGATTTTTAATTTGCTGTTAAAGGCAGGCACCTACTTCACTTCACATAAAATTAACGGCTAAATTGAAAACTTAATTACTCCACCACAAACACAAAAGAATGCACGCTTCTCAATTTTCACAGTGGCAATGTGACTCCAGTATAAAAATTAAAAACAAAATTGACAGTGACACATTGAAGTCATTAGAGAGCATTTTATTTTTAGTTTTTGTTTATCATATTTTTATTTTTATAACTATGGCTTTAATATAGAATTTTTGTCCGTAATGACCCAAGAATTGAAAAAGGTATCCCCTGCAGTTTACGGTAAAGTTACGCCGCCAGTAATGGAGAAAGGTAAAGTGACTTATTGTACCGACTTGGAGAAGTCCGTGATAATGAGCAACTTCGAGCGTCGCGGTTGGATCCAAGTGGGGCCCGACGATGAATGGAACTTTTACTGGTCCTTCACACAAAATTGCCGAACAATTTTCAGCATCGAGAGCGGTTACCGAATGAGCGACAACCAAATGATAAATCACTTCCCAAACCATTATGAACTGTCACGCAAAGATTTGTTAGTAAAAAATATCAAAAGATATAGAAAAGAACTTGAGAAAGAAGGTAATCCTCTAGCTGAAAAAACAGAGGTTGTTTTGCCTAATGGACAAGTGATAAGTCGCTACATACACTTGGATTTTATACCAGTTACCTACGTACTGCCAGCTGACTACAACATGTTCGTCGAAGAATACAGAAAATCTCCCCAGAGCACGTGGATAATGAAACCGTGCGGGAAGTCTCAAGGGGCTGGAATATTTCTAATAAATAAACTTTCGAAACTCAAGAAGTGGTCTCGTGAAGCGAAAACTCCGTTCCATCCCCAGTTGACTAGTAAAGAAAGTTATGTGATATCGCGGTACATCGACAACCCGCTCTTAATTGGCGGGAAGAAATTCGACCTACGACTGTACGTGCTGGTGACGTCATTCCGCCCATTAAAAGCGTACTTATTCCAACACGGCTTCTGTAGATTCTGTACAGTGAAATACGATACGAGTGTCACTGAGCTCGATAATATGTACGTGCATTTGACTAATGTTAGCGTACAGAAACACGGCGGCGACTACAACAGTTTGCACGGTGGGAAAATGAGTATCCAAAACTTCCGTTTGTATCTGGAGGGCACGAGAGGGCGATCTGTTACTGACAAATTGTTTGCTGAAATGCAATGGCTTATTGTTCACTCTTTGAAAGCTGTCGCCCCGGTTATGGCTAACGATCGCCACTGTTTTGAATGTTACGGATACGATATAATAATAGACAATACTCTAAAACCTTGGCTTGTTGAAGTGAATGCTTCGCCGTCTCTGCAGTCGACGACTCATAATGATAGAATTTTGAAATACAAATTGATAGATAATATAGTATCGGTAGTAGTCCCGCCTGATGGTATTCCTGATGCGAGGTGGAACAAGATTCCCACAGCTGAAGCGCTCGGTGACTTTGAACTGTTGATAGATGAGGAGCTTATAGAGAGAGAAGACGCTAATTCTCGCTACAACAAATATCATCGCGTTAGACAATAATTTATTATAACATTGTAAATGTTTTGGTGAAATAAAACAAAACTACATAAGATTAATTTTAAAAGTGTTGTTAATAGCCTTTATTTAAAAAAAAAAAACATTTTCGACATGTAATATAATCCTTTTCAAAAAAGATTCATTTCTAATTACCCTTTAAAATTCCTAACTCCGTGATATTTATATACAGTGTATAATTAAAATTAATCAAATTCTTTGTTCTTTTTTTAAACAATAAACAAAACCAACAAACATGCACACTTTAGTTTTTCCGATTACTTTTATCACGATGCATAAAATCCATTTCTCCTTTATGCATAGAATCTTCATCGATGAGTATTTGAAAATCCCCTAAAGCTTCGGCGCTCGGCGTTTTGTTCCAGCGGGCGTCCGGGATTCCGCCCGGAGGTAGAACAACCGATAAAAGATTATCCAAGAGTTTGTACTTGAGTATCCTGTCGTTAACCGTGGTAGCCGTCATCGATGGGGAGGCGTTCACCTCTATAAGCCACGGCTTCAAGTTATCGTCTATGATTATGTCGTAACCGTAACACTCAAAGCAATGGCGGTCATTCGAAATAACGTGCGCCACGGCCTTTAACGAGTGCACTATCAACCACTGGATGTTCTCGAACAGACGATTGGTCACCGCCCGTCCGCGCGTCCCTTCCAAATAAAGCTTCAAATTATGTATGCCCAGCTTCCCGCCGTGCTGGCTATTGTAGTCACTGCCGTGTTTTTGTACGCTCACATTCGTTAGATGAACATACATATTGTCGAGTTCTGTAACGCTCGTATCGTATTTCATTGTGCAAAATCTACAAAATCCATTTCGAAACATGTAAGCTTTTAAAGGACGGAACGACGTAACGAGGACGTAAATCCTCAAATCGAATTTCTTCCCTCCGATAAGAAGCGGATTATCTATGTAGCGAGATATGACATAAGTATCTTTACTTGTCAGATGATGCTGTAAATATTTCTTAGATTCCCGAGACCACTTTTTCAGTTTCGACAGTTTGTTTATAAGGAAAATGCCAGCGCCTTGGGATTTGCCGCAAGGCTTCAGAATCCAGGTTGTTTGAGGAAATTTTCGGTACTCCTCTACAAACATGTTGTAGTCAGAAGGCAGCACGAACGTAACCGGAATGAAATCTAAATATAAATAGCGAGTGATGACTTGCCCGCTCGGGAGCTTCACTTCAGTTTTTTCCGCAAGGGGATTACAGTCTTTTTCCAATTCTTTTCTGTATCGTTTTATATTTTTTACGAGTAAATCTTTACGCACCAGCTCGTAGTGGTTGGGGAAATGGTTGATCAATTGATTCTCACCGAGTCGCAGGCCGCACTCTATGCTAAATATAGTGCGACAGTTCAAAGTGTTCGCCCAGTACACGTGCCACTCTTCGTCTGGCATCACTTGTTTCCATCCTCGTCTCTTGAAGGTGTTGATCACAATTGAGTTCTCGAAATCTGTGCAGAAATTCAAATGTTTCCCATCAGGTGGTGAACCAGATAAGCGTCCATAGATATTTAGTAAAGATTTTTTATTTTGAGAAGGTGTTCCACGTGCCGATCGCATTGTGATGTCCGTATTTTAATAAAAAAATAATAATTTAAATTTAAAATAAACCATGACCGTCTTAACTGTTCTGTTTTGACATATTACTTTATTATAACTCTTTGACATAAACACTCAACATGTTCGAATGGCATGTTAGTAAACTAAGTTACCATGGAAACATAATTGCACGTTGGAGGAAAAGAGAGATAAATGTTTTTGTCTCTTTTTTATCATAGAGTATTCGATAATGATTAAAAACTTTTCTTAGTTCATAATGTCTGCTACAGCTACGTAATATTACTAAAAGCTCCTTTTAAAATATGCATTAGCAGTAAGTAACAAGTTGACAACAGCTCTTTAATTCAGAAAGCTTTGCTGTTTGAATTTATAAAAAGAGCAGCTAGTTCCTTAAAGATGAAGTTTGTATTTTTACCATAAATACTGGCTAGACTTGTATGAAAAATTTGCTATACGTATATTAAAGTATAGTATTTATACGGTGTATAATGTATATTTTTATGTTTTGATTCAATGTATGTTTTCGTTTCATTGAGTTTTAAATCAATTATGGTAAATTTTGTTAGTATCCTGCGTCCTTCAATGGAGTTAAAGAGAAGTTTTATTCAAATCGAATTGAACTTCTATCTTTCTATTTTATTTATTTTTACATCGTAAATATGGACATAAGTTTCTTTTTTACAAATAATCACCTACAAATACCAACCTAACCAATAAATTGATGAAACAATATAGAGATAAATGGTCCCTAGGTACTGTGGACAATTGACGGTATTGGGTTGGTAGCGGAAAGCTGGAATAAATTACTATAATAAAATAAATAAAACACTGTCAGTTGTATCAGTTTCTTATATAATTTACTTAAATTGAAATCAGTGGTCTCCAACCACCTTTTTAGGCCGCCAACCACCACAAAATTTTAGGCAAATTTTGGAATTGTTTTTTAAATACATCACAAAATTTCTGGTAATGTCATACAACGTGGCATCAAGCCAAATATAGTTTTGGTACATATATTTCTTTAAATGTAGGTAGTTAAGTCTACATTTTTTAAACACTGCCTCATATTTATATATATATCCCTGCACATTCACATCGCACAAGTATTATTTATGGAAATAATGTAGAAAAGGCGTAAAAAACTACGTTAAATCCAAATCATAACTAATAGTATAAATGCGAAAGTAACTGTCTGTCTGTCTGTCTTTTCTTCACGCCTAAACTACTGAACCGATTTGTGTGAAGTTTGGTACAGACGTAGTTTGGAACTCGAAAAGGGACATAGGATAGTTTTTAAACCAAAAATCTGCAGATGTCAATATTTCACGCGGACGAAGTCGCAGGCAAAAGATAGTTAAAAAATAAAATGAAATAATACTTTTTTTCTTTTTAGAAAACATTGCCCCATTTTCCCCCTATTTTCAACTGTGTCGTGGGTGCGTTTACAAACATACAAATTCATATACATAAGCCAACAACAATTTGTAGATCACTCAAAGTTTTGTTCAGTGCGATAATATGGTTTTTCTGTGCGATTACTATATCTATTTAAGGTACGTATGTGAGCGAAGCCGCGGGCAGTAACAAATAGTATCCTATAAACAAGTTCTATATTTAACCCATGTAAATATGTGAAGGGTATCCCAAACTAAGTTACTTTGTTCATCCGTCAAATACAGGATCGAAAATAAGTTGATAATATGTACCTACACTAGTTTATACCCGTAACTTAGTGCGTTTGTATTTGGTAATGGTAATTGTGAGTCGATGAATTTCAATATTCATTCCCAAAATGTTGCAAACGTTTTATTTTATTATCGGAGATTTAAAATGTAATAGGATTAATCTTATTATAAAATAAAGACCTACATAGGTTACTTTTTCCACGCAAGCGTGTCTAGAAGTACTTGTTTTTTAAAAGAAAAACGTTTCCCCACACTACGATTTTTCTTATGTGTCGTGGTTGCGGTTACAAACATACAATTTCACATACACATGATACCCCGGACCCGGAACAATAATTTGTGAAAAACAGAGAGGGTTGTTCCGTGCGAGAATCGAACCCGCGACAAGTTGCACGGCAGCCAGTTGCCCAGCCACCGCACCAACCATTTAGTCAGTATAACATGGGGTTCAAAATACAACTAGTGCTTTGTTTTGTGAGAGGAAAATCATTAAATGACATCTCCCGCCCAGGGTTAGGTGAAAGGGATTGTCAGACTCTTACTGACTCAAAACCGCTCCGTTCCTTCTCCTGCTTTAAACCAAGGTCGCGGTGCCTCATTGCGCTTACCCCGCAACCCCGGCTGAACATCAGCCCTATAGGGCTCCGTCTGTGGTGGGCTATTGGCAACTAGTACTAAGCTGGTGTTACGACTACGTTTTATAAATTACATGCGCCTCATTTTGTGCCTACGAGAGAAAATAATCGTGACGTTTTGTGAGTCGCATCCATCGTAAAACATGGTTCAATCCTCCACTATCAAGTTTCTGAATCATTCAATTAATTATTTAATCTTATTTGGTTCAACGAATCATGACACACATACTGGTAGTTTTATTCTAATATTTTAGTACGGATAGAGGTAAGGTACATATTATGCTTCGATTCCGGTATCCGAGAATTGAAAATAACGGGGAATATATTCCATTCAACCGTGAAACTTGATATTTGGAGAGCATTTTCTGAGTTTGACCGACAAATCAAACTCATAACTCACTTTGTTAGATTTTAACTTATATTCGACATGATTTGAAGTTAATTTGAAGGCATGGTTTTGAACGTAAGTTAGAATCAAGTGTCATGTTTCGGCACTAAAGATCCGTTTCCACCGGAGTGTCACAACGGCCTTACAAAAAAGTAGCTTGAAAAAACCGCAGCGTTGTATTTCCACGTCTAATCGAGGTTGCTGTAGACCCAATACTTCTTCTTTTCGCATCCCTCCTCGGTACTTAAATCCCCAAATCCCTTTGTATCCGAGAGGCCGGTAGGATGACCAGCCACCGCGCCAACCGTGAAGTCTTTAAGCTAAACATAGATATTAGAATTAAACACATATGTAGTTGGTTTTATTACAATAACAGACCAACAAATAAATAGAAGAGTTTAATTCCCCTAAATAACATCACATAAATAACACTTTGTACGCCAATCGCCACTGCATTCGTAATCGGTGTCATAAATTAATGACCTTTCAAATGGCCAACAATACGAACGTGGCAGATGTAAATTCCATTTGAGCTTAGTGGCCATAAAGCCATTTATTATTCAAACGTAACGTCTACTTATCTCGCTTTAACGCAAATACAAGCGCTTATGTGGAAATCGTCACCATTCATAACATAGATATGAAGGAAAATATACGTTCACCTAGTATACAAAAGGCCAAGTTGAAACTAGAAGTGTTATATTTATAAATAATAATAAGTATATGCTTAACTTTTCATTAAGTTAAATTTAAAAAGGTTAAGAGAGTCTGTTGTTATTTGCCATGTAACTCCCTAAATCGATCACGAAGACCCTATAATCCGAATTGTGTGTGTGGTGAAGGACGTCAGATGGTAAGCAATCGATGCTGGGATGGATACCTGCAACATGTGCGTTGTTAGCTTTTTAAAAATAAGTAACTTCAGAATAAGGAGAATCAAGAAGCTGGTGGTCAGAGCGGAAATTGAATAACCAATGGGAGGGAGCAGGATTTTAGCCTCCGAAACCTTAGTCAAATGTCTAAACACAACGTCTCATAAAAAAGGCTACCTAACGTTTCACCTTTGTTTTGTTAAGATTAAATGTTTGAAAAAGATATTAAATGTTTAAGATTAAAGTGTGGGAGAGCCATGCTTCGGCACGAATGGGTCGGCTCGACCGGAGTGATACCACGGCCTCACAGAAAACCGGCGTGAAATAACCACTGCGTTGTGTTTCGCCGTGTGAGTGAGGTTACCGGAGGCCCAATCCTTCCCCTTCCCCAATCCCTCCTCAATCCCTATATCTCCAAATCCCTAATCCCTGAAAGGTCGGCAACGCACTCGTAACTCCGCCGTTGCGAGTGTCCATGGGCGGCGCTGATTGCTTACCATCAGGTAATCCGTCTGCTCGTTTGCCGACCTATTACATAAAAAAAAAGAACAAAAGTAGTAACACAATTCACCGTCATCACTGCCATCATAATTATCAGCATCACGATGTCTACTGTTCCTACGGCCAATGTTCAATAGGCCTTCCTCACATCACTGTCTCAGTAATTATCTATTGAAGTACCAATACCTTGTTATCGATTCAATTAACCACACAATGTGCACAAATCAATTATAATCATCGTCATACATATCGCACATGGCCATATCCAAATAGCTGGCAATAAGACTGCGCATAAACGGCACTTGAGCTTAGCTCCCATAAATTCATTTATTATTAAACATTACGGCCATTTACGGCCACTTATCTCTCCCCCCACTAATTCACGCCGATTGGCGTGCGTTCGGCCGTTATTTGCAACTTAATGTGCGTCTTCATATGAATTATTCAATCTGCTGCCGGTGGTATGACTTTCAGTTAATAATTTCGTATTTTTTAGACATACAAAGATATTTATCCCAATTTTAACATGAAGTTTTAATTACTAGTAACAACTGCCAATAGTTAGCATCCATCGAAAATTCTCAAAGTTCTTCTTTGCCAAAATATTATATCAAATGCTACCAATACATCGTATGTCTTGGTATTAGGTCATTCAACTTATACGCCCGAAGAAATGATACCAATAGTGATTAATCATATCTAGTTTCGATATTGTATCGCTAGCACTAGGTCATATTTCGGAAAATGTAACAGATGCTATAATAAATGGCTGGAAAACGTGTGATAAAGTAAATAGAATCACTTTAAGTGCTGTGTGGAAGTTGGTCAGGATTTATTGTTTCCTCCGAACAGTTAGTAATGTAGTAGGATTCTTTGCAACACGTGTTTTAGAGCTCTTTTCAATTTTACGCTACGTAGC